ATTTTTAGTAGAGACGGGGTTTCACCGTGTTGACCAGGATGGTCTCGATCTCTTGACCTCGTGATCCACCCGCCTCGGCCTCCCAAAGTGCTGGGATTACAGGCTTGAGCCACCACGCCCGGCCATTAAATATATTTTATTCATCTTGGCATAGCTTTCTTACAGGCAGTATGCAGAATGATACATATAAAGAGGTAATGGCAACCCTTGCTCCAAAGGTTAAGAGGGAATTAGGAACAAAAAGAAGGGTTTGGAAAAACTAAGGAAGAGAGTGCAATCAGAGCATCTGAAGGTCCAAGACTTGTCAGACACAGGTGCATTCCAGCCCAACAACAGTGTGGGACATGTTGGTCTAAGAGCATCTTACCTCCAAGAACTGCTTGAGGCGTACGAAGGAACCCATTTGTCCTGAGCTTGTGATAGCTTCAATTCTATAGGGAGAGAAAGAAGACACATGAATCACAGCTATGGTATACATCTATCTTTTGGAGATAGTGTCTCACTGTGTCATGTAGGCTAAAAGTGCAGTGGTGTGATCATAGCTCACTGAGGCCTTGAACTCCTGGTCTTAAGCGATCCTCCTGTCTCAGCTTCCCTAGTAGCTGGGATTATAGGTACATGCCATCATGCCTGGCTAATTTTTTTTTTTTTTTTTTTTTTGAGATAGGATCTTGCTATATTGCCTAGGCTGGCTTTGGACACTTGGGCTCAAGTGATCCTCCTGCTGTAGCCCCTCAAAGAGCTGTAATTATAGGCATAAGCCACTGTGCCCAGCCCTTAATTTGTGTTTTTGTTTAGACAATGATATACTTTTTTTGTTTTTTAAAGACGGGGTTTCACCATGTTGGTCAGGCTGGTCTTGAACTCCCGACCTCAGGTGATCCACCCGCCTTGGCCTCCAAAGTGCTTGGATTACAGGCGTGAGCCACCATGCCTGGCCTAGACAATGATATTTAAGACAGACTCTCATTCAGGTTCAGAAGCATTTATTCAAATATCAACGAGAAGGACTGGAGTAGGAAGATGGCATACTTAGTACAGGTGTTTTCAACTTCAATCAAAACCAGCAGGTAATAGCACCCTTTGGTATCTGAGGCCTGGTTATGAGTTTACTTACTTAATCCCCTGTTGTCTGCTTAACAAGCCTGATACCTGGGAAAGTAGTCCTCTTTGAGGAGAATTAGCATCTTCCAGAACTGAACCTGGTACTGCTTCATGAGGGCATTCCCACACACCTAGAGGGAAAGACAAGAACTGTCAGAGCAGAGAATGAAAATTCACACTCACAGGACAAATTCATAAAGCACAATCAACCCTTCATCTTTCACACCTATCAAAACTTTCAGCCACAATGCCAGTAAACTTGCTGTTAAGGGAATAAATGGAAATACCCAACTTTCTTCTAAAGCATTTCTCTTTATGCAGCAATACCTCCATTTAACCAGACAGTCAGGTCTTAATGAACTAATCTTCTTTTCCTCTACTGAATGGAAGCCTTCCTAAAGGGATGGTATACTTCCCAAACTTAGTAAGCAGAGTATATAGAATACCACTTGTGTTCTCAATGATACAGGATCATTGTTCATGTATGGTGACTCCAGGAGCTTTTTATTATTATTTTTAAATAGGGTCTCACTCTGTCGCCCAGGCTGGAGTATACTGGCATGATCACAGTTCACTGCAGCCTCAACCTCCCCAGGCTCGGGTGATCCTCCAACTTCAGCCTCCCCAGTAGCTGGGACCACAGGCACATATCACCATACCCAGCTAATTTTTGTATTTTTTTGTAGACATAGGGTTTTACCATGTTGCCCAGGCTGGTCTTGAACTCCAGGGCTCAAGTGATCTGCCTGCCTTGGCCTCCCAAAGGCCGGGATTACAGGTGTCAGCCACTGCACCTGGCTGACTTCAGGAGCTATTAAGGTAACTAGGAACTATAGCATTATAGATCAAATGGTTCCAAATTTATTATGGCATGTACCCCAACCTTTCTTCTATAAAAACTATCTTCTTGGCCGAGTACAACAGCTCATTCCTGTAATCTCAACACTTCAGCAGGCTAAGGTGGGAGGATCACTTGAGCCCAAGAGTTTGAGGCTATAGTGACCTATGAACATTGCACTCCAGCCTGGGGACAGAATAATATCCTGTTTCAAAAAAAAAAAAAACGCACAAAGTGTCACCTTCCATAGAAACTCTTGCCCTCACCCTATAGTAGTGGTCCCATATAGGCAGATAGAACTGTTTATAGAGCTGGCTGGACGCAGTGGCTCACACCTGTAATCCCAGCACTTTGGAAAGCCAAGGCAGGCGGATCACAAGGTCAAGAGATAGAGACCATTCTGGCTAACATGGTGAAACCCCGTCTCTACTAAAAATACAAAAATTAGCCGGGCGTGGTGGCACTCGCTTGTGGTCCCAGCTACTCGGGAGGCTGAGGCAAAAGAATCACTTGAACCCAGGAGGCGGAGGTTGCCATGAGCCAAGATTGTGCCACTGCACTCCAGCCTGACAACAGAACAAGACCCTCTGTCAAAAAAAAAAAAAAAAAAAGAACTGTTTATAGAGCCTTCTACATTGGTCAATATTTTCTCTCCTAGGAATTAGGAATCAGAATAGTGAAATGACAGTCCCACCACATTGAGTGACCACACTGAGGCTGAGTGACAGAGTCTAGAATAGCCACCTTCTTCACTGTACACAGAGAAACAGGGCAAGTTGGCCTACAGACCAGCAATGAGGCAACCTGCAGGAAGGTTAAGAGCATATGGCCCCATGGAGAAACTGTCTTGGTGCCTGGTGACATTTCAGTTCTTGATTCCAGGCCCTATTGAGATGCACCTGCACATCCTATTCTTGTTTCTGGGAGTCTTTTTTTTTTTTGAGATGGAGTCTTGCTCTGTCTCCCAGCCAGACTGGAGTGCAATGGCACGATCACAGCTCATTGCAACCTCCACCTCCCAAGTTCAAGCTATTCTCCTGCCTTAGCCTCTGGAGTATCGGGGATTACAGGCGTATTTCACCACACGTGACTAATTTTTGTATTTTCAGTAGAGATGGGGTTTCACCATGCTGGCCAGGCTGGGCTCAAACTCCTGACCTCATGTGATCTGCTCACCTCGGCCTCCCAAAGTGCTGGGATTACAGGTGTGAGTCACCGTGCCCAGCCTGGAAGTCACTTCTTTTTTTTTTTTGAGACAGAGTCTCGGTCTGTCACCAGGCTGGAGTGCAGTGGCGTGATCTCGGCTCACTGCAACCTCCACCTCCTGGGTTCAAGCAATTCTCCTGCCTCGGCCTCCCAAGTAGCTAGGACTACAGGCGCGTGCCACCACACCCAGCTAATTTTTGTATTTTTAGTAGAGACGGGGTTTCACCATGTTGGCCAGGATGGGCTCGATCTCTTGACCTTGTGATCTGCCTGCCTTGGCCTCCCAAAGTGCTTGAGCCACCGCGCCCAGCCGGGAGTCACTTCTATATCCCTAAAACAAATTCCTCTTTTCACTTTTGCTAGAATATACAATTTTCTGTTCTTTATAATGAAAAAAATCGGGAGAAGCCAAGTAAATATAGTGTGGTATAAGTGAAAGCGGGGTTGGTCTATGTCTTGGGAAGAAATGTGTGACATTGGAACCTCATGCTGTTTACTATTAGGCCCAATTGCTATGCTGTTTCCCCATTCATGTCACCCAGTTGATCAAGGCTACCTCAACCACTGGCTTTCTCTTATGTGATAACTGATTACATACCTCCAGGAAGTCAAAGAGGAGGGTGGCCGTCACATCTGACAAGGGTTCCATGTTTAAGATCTGTGCCAACCAGCGCCATCCATGATTTAAGCCATGAGGGTGAATCTGGGAGGAGAGAAGCTTGGTTATCATTGATCTCATTTTGTTTAGAAATCTAAACTCCCAATGTATCATCCAGCCATCACTAAGTGGACATGAACCCCAATCATCTAGCTCTAGCACCAGCTGCAGGGCAGAAATAACACAAACTAAACAAATTCTGTTTCTCTTTTATTTTTTTTGAGACAGGATCTCACTTTGTCGTCCAGGTTGGAGTGCAGTGGTACAACCACGGATCACTGCAGCCTTGACCTCTTGGGCTCAAGTGATTCTCCCACCTCACCATCAGTCTCCCAAGTAACTGGGACTATGGTTTTGCACCACCATGCTCAGCTAATTTTTTTAAATCTGATGTAGAGACTGCATGGTTTCACCTTGTTGCCCAGGCTGGACTCAAACTCCTGGAGTCAAGTGATCTACCTGCTTTGGATTCCCAAAGTGCTGGGATCACAGGTATGAAGCCACCTAGCCAGCCTTCTGTTTTTAAATGTTTCAATACATTGGTTCCCATACATTCTCTTTTTTTTCTGAGATGGAGTCTTGCCCTATCGCCAGACTGGAGTACAGTGGTGCGATCTCAGCTCACTGCAACTTCTGCCTCCCGGGTTCAAGCAATTCTCCTGCCTCAGCCTCCCAGTAGCTGGGAGTATAGACATGCACCACCACACCCAGCTAATTTTGTATTTTTAGTAGAGACAGGGTTTCGCCATGTTGGCCAGAATGGTCTCAATCTCCTGACGTCGTGATCTGCCTACCTTGGCCTCCCAAAGTGCTGGGACTACAGGTGTGAGCCACTGTGCCCAGCTTATTTACTTATTTATTTATTTAGCCGGAGTCTTGCTCTGTCGCAGGCTGAAGTGCAGTGGCATAATCTTGGCTCACTGCAATCTCTGCCTCCCGGGTTCAAGGGAATCTCCTGCCTCAGCCTCCCAAGTAGCTGGGACTACAGGTGTGCACCACCATGCCCGGCTAATTTTTGTATTTTCAGGAGACAGGGTTTCACCATGTTGGCCAGGATGGCCTTGGCCTCCCAAAGTGCTGGGATTACAGGTGTGAGCCACCGTGCCCGGCCCCACACATTCTTTATAGGATCCCTTCAATATGCATGTGTAGCCTCAGCTTCAGGCATTCCACCGGCCAACAATGAGACTTACTGACATTTTATTTATTATTCTTGGTACCTTTAGCACAGAACCTGGGACACAGCAGGCATACAATAAAATCTTGGATTTAATCAACTTCTATTTTTCTCTTTAGGTGTCCACGACCATTAACTTCTCTGTCCCTCTAATCTGTATTCCCTGAGAAATTAACTGGGCTGGCAAGTCAAAGCCCTGAACCCTAGCTGCAGCTTTCCGAGCTTGATCTGTCCATCTGTGAAGTAAGGGATGTGATCTAGATGGCTTCTAAGGCCTCAACTAGTTCTACAATTCCTTGCTTATTTCTCTTGCAAGAAAATCTTCTAACCTTAATGACTGGCTTAGACTCTCCTCTGGTAGACTCTGTTACAAAACTAGCTCTTTTTTTTTTTTGACAGAGTCTCACCCAGGTTGGAGTACAGTTGTGCGATCTCAGCTCACTGCAACCTCTGCTTCCCTGGTTCAAGTGACTCTCCTGCGTCAGCCTTCCGAGTAGCTGGGACTACAGGCACTTACCACCATGCCTGGCTAATTTTTTGTATTTTTAGTAGAGATGGGGCTTTACCATGTTAGCCAGGATGGAACAAAACCAGCTCTTTAAAGTACCAGGTGATTCAAGAAAGTTCCCTAGTAATCAACAATCAGTCCTCTACAGAATACCCATGAAATTGCCATACAGTTTATCCTTTAACTAGACTGGCTTTCTCAAAGAAGGTCAACATTTCCCATTGGAGGAATACACATGGACTGTGGTCTAACCTCTCATTATTGATAGTAAGCCTTTCACCTACCTCTTGTCGGTTTCCATATGGCCACCGGAGCTGGATGATGGCAGCATAGAGACGAATCATCCCTGACATGCGTTTTAGAAAGTTGTCTTGCTGCTCCACTTTGGAATCCGTTACTTGGTAGCCAAGCATCCTATTTGGGAAGAAAAAGTTTGGTCGGGTGTGGTGGCTCACACCTGTAATCCTAGCACTTTGGGAGGCTGAGGTGGGTGGATCACTTGAGGCCAGGAGTTTAAGACTAGCCTGGCCAACATGGTGAAACCCCATCTCTACTAAAAATACAAAAATTACTGGGTATGGTGATGCACGCCTGTTGTCCCAGCTAATTGGAAGGCTGAGGCATGAGAATTGCTTGAACCTGGGAGGTAGAGGTTGCAGTGAGTCGAGATTGCACCACTGTACTCCAGCCTAGGTGACAGAGTAAGACTCTGTCTCAAAAGAAAAAGAAAAGAAAAAAATTCACTGGGACAAGGCCAAAATAAGGGTGACAAATGAGAGAGAAACTACTTTTTTTTTTTTTGAAACAGAGTCTCTGTCGCCCAGGATGGAGTACAGTGGTACGATTAAGGCTCACTGCAAACTTCACTGCCCAGGTTCAAGTGACCCTTCCACCTCAGCCTCCCAAGTAGCTAGGACCACAGACATATGCCACTACAGCTGGCTTTTTTTTTTTGAGATGGAGTTTTGCTCTTGTTGCCCAGGCTGAAGAGCAATGGCACAATATCTGCTCACTGCAACCTCCACCTCCCGGGTTCAGGAGATTCTCCTGCCTCAGCTTCCTGAATAGCTGGGATTACAGCACCTGCCACCACACCTGACTAATTTTTGAATTTTTAGTAAAGACAGGGTTTCACCATGTTTACCAGGCTAGTCTCAAACTCCTGACCTCTGACCTCAGGTGATCTGCCCGCCCCAGCCTCCCAGTGCTGGGTTTACAGGCATGAGCCACTGTACCTGGTCAACACCTGGCTCATTTTTCTTTTCTTTTTTTTTTTGAGACAGAGTCTCGCTCTGCTGCCCAGGTTGGAATGCAGTGGCGCAATCTCGGCTCACTGCAGCCTCTGCCTCCTGGGTTCAAGGGATTCTCCTGTCTCCTTCCTCAGCCTTAAGTAGCTGGGACTACAGGCTGCATGCCACCATGCCCAGCTAATTTTTTTTTCCTTTGAGACAGAATTTTGCTCTTGTTGCCCAGGCTGGAGTGCAATGGTGTGATCTTGGCTCACTACAACTTCAGCCCTTGGGTACAAATGATTTTCCTGAGGCTGAGGCAGGAAAATCACTTGTACCCAGGGGCAGAAGTTGCAGCCTCCCACGTAGCTGTGATTACAGGCACCTGCCACCACACCCAGCTATTTTTTTTTATTTTTAGTAGATGAGGTTTCACCATTTTGGCCAAGCTGGTCTGAAACTCCTGGCCTCAGGTGATCCACCCGCCTCAGCCTTCCAAAATGCGGGGATTACAGGAGTGAGGCATCGTGCCCAGCTAACACCTGGCTAATTAAAAAAAAATTTTTTTTTGTAGAGACAGGGTCTCATTTTGTTACCCAGGCTGGTCTGGAAATCCTGGGCTCAAGCAATCCTTCTGCTTCAGCCTTCCAAAAAAAATTATATGCATGAGGCACTGTAGCTGGCCCAGAGAATACCTTTTTTTTTTTTTTTTTGAGACAGAGTTTCACTCTTGTTGCCCAGGCTGGAGTGCAATGGTGTGATCTTGGCTCACTGCAACCTCCACCTCCCAGGTTCAAATGATTCTTCTGCCTCCGCCTCCCGAGTAGCTGGGATTATAGGCATGTGCCATCATGCCTGGCTAATTTTTTGTATTTTTAGTAGAGACAGGGTTTCTCCATGTTAGTCAAGCTGGTCTTGAACTCCCAACTACCTCAGCCTTCCAAAGTGCTGGGATTATAGGCATGAGCCACTGCCTCTGGCCCAGAGATTACTTTTTATGGCTAAAAAGTAACAATGTATTATAACATTCAGCATTACTATTAATATATTATTATATCTATAGAATACTTTACCAAGCACTCACATCCGTCATCAAATCTGTACTTCATATAAACCATGAGGTAAACTCACAGAAGGGAATAGATGTCATTACTTACATTTACAAATAAAGAAAAGATGCTCAAAAAGACTAAATGATTTGTCCATTTTGGCAAAGCTATTAAATGACAAAGCAGGGATAAAATTCCAAGACCCCAGTATCCTGTCCACTAAACTACATTAATTATTGGCACCTAAGTTCACAAATCCCAAAGGCTGTCCAGTTTGTACAAAAAACTATATATACATATATATTTATTTATTTATTTTCTTTCTGAGACACAGTCTTGCTGTGTCACCCAGGCTGGAGTGCAGTGGTGCAATCTCAGCTCATTGCAACCTCCGCCTCCCAAGTTCAAGCAATTCTTGTGCCTCAGCCTCCTGAGCAGCCAGAAGCATAGGTGTACATCACCACATCTGGCTAATTTTTTGTATTTTTACTAGAGACGGTGTTTCTCCATGTTGCCCAGGATGGTCTCTAACTCCTGACTTCAGGCAATCCGCCCACCTTGCCCTCCCAAAGTGTTGGGATTATAGGCATGAGCCACCACCCCCGGCCGAAATACATTATATTTCTGATAGAATATTCAAGGTATGTAATAGGAGCTGTGAGAGAGGGAAAAACAAATTCCAACTCTATTTATATTTCACTAATCAGCCTAGGGATCAAAAGTAGGAAGAAAAACAACTTTACCTCTGATAGTCTTCCAAAGCCATTCCCTCCTTGAAAGTGGGATAGAAAGGAACAGAGTAAGGACACTTCTTATGTAGATGAGCAAGAATGAGGTCCCCTACTCTGGGGTGGAGCTCCCAGATCCCGGACGCCACAACTGCAATGGGGAATGCTGCTTCATGGTGAGAGGCCACTTCCTCCTCGCCTTGTTTCTGAGAACACAGAGGTGGGTACAATTTTAACTTAATACCAGAGAAAGGCTGAAATCCTATACACCAGCCTCTTCTTCCCATACCTCTAGCAACAAGGTTTCTCACCACAAATTTCTCTGCCAGTTTGTATTGAACAAAGTCCAGCCCCTGTGGGTTAAGTGTGACAGACACAGAGCGCCCACCAGATTGAACAGGTTTTCCAGAGAGCAGGCTGTGGATCTTGTCAAAGATCTCCTTCAGTTTTGAGCCTGAGCATGATAGAGAGAAATTAAAAGATACAACCACAGATCAATCTTTTTTCTTTTTCTTTGAGACAGAGTCTTGTTCTGTTACCCAGGGTGGAGTGCAGTGGCATGATCTTGGCTCATTGCAAACTACCTTCCAGGCTCAAGTGATTCTCATGCCTCAGCCCCCCAAGTAGCTGGGAATTCAGGCACTCATCACCATGCTGGGCTAATTTTTGTATTTTTTTTTTTTTGAGACGGAATTTCACTCGTTACCCAGGCTGGAGTGCAATGGCGCGACCTCGGCTCACTGCAACCTCCACCTCCTGGGTTCAAGAAATTCTCCTGCCTCAGCCTCCCGAGTAGCTGGGACTACAGGCGTACGCCACCATGCCCAGCTAATTTTTGTATTTTTAGTAGAGATAGGGTTTCACCATGTTGACCAGGATGGTCTCGATCTCTTAACCTCATGATCTACCCGCCTCAGCCTCCCAAAGTGCTGGGATTATAGGCGTGAGCCACCGCACCTGGCCAATTTTTGTATTTTTTTTTTGTAGATACTGCGTTTCACCATGTTGGCCAGGCTGGTCTTCAACTCCTGACCTCAAGTGATCCCCCCACGTAAGCCTCCCGAAGTGCTGGGATTACAGGCATGAGCCACCATGCCCAGCCTCTTTTTCATCATTGTAATTACAAAGCATCTACAAAAACCCAGCTGTGCAGCCCTACAGAAGTTCTGGGCCTACAGCCAAAACACTGGTACAGAAGAACACATGGCAATCACATATACATGGGGATCCTCAAGTGTGCAAGTCATGGTACTATTAGAAAGGAATTCCTTATCTGGGACTGAGCTAATTCCGAAACTCACACATAAAATGAAGGGATGAACAATATAGAAAGAGGTGTTACATTTTGTTACAGACCCCATGGGCTATGGTTTGTATCTCTGGAGGAGTTAGTCACATCTCTAGGAAAAACCTTCTAAAGGATCTGCCCGGCTCATGATGATATGCCACCTTCCCTGGGACTTGCCTTCCTCCATCCTAAGACACAGAAGTGGATTTGTAACAGCTATATTTGTACCAAAGATCCTGTGTGCTCCACCCCCACACCAGCTATAGTTAGATTACAGGTAGTTAAGTTGAGCCAGCCAGTCAAGTAGGAGTCACTTCCTTTGTAATCCCAGCACTTTGAGAGGCCAAGGCGGGTGGAACACAAGGTCAGGAGATCGAGACCATCCTGGCTAACACAGTAAAACCCCGTCTCTACTAAAAATACAAAAAAAATTAGGGGGGATGTGGCACATGCCTGTAGTCCCAGTTACTCGGGAGGCTGAGACAGAAGAACTGCTTGAACCCAGGAGGTGGAGGTTGCAGTGAGACAAGATCGTGCCACTGCACTCCAGCATGGGTGACAGAGCAAGACTCCATCTCCCTGCAACCTCCACCTCCCAGGTTCAAGCAATTCTCCCAACTCAGCCTCCCAAGTAGCTGGGACTACAGGCACGTGCCACTACTCCCAGGTAATTTTTGTATTTTTAGTAGACATGGGGTTTCATCATGGTGGCCAGCCTGATCTCAAACTCCTGATCTCAAGTGATCCATCCGCCTCACCCTCCTACAAGTCTAAGAGTGCTAGGTTTATAGGCATGAGCCATGGCACCTGGCGACATCCACCTTTTTTGTTTTTTTTGAGATGGAGTCTCACTCTGTCACCCAGGCTGGAGTATAATGGCACGATCTCGGCTCACTGCAACTGCCACCTCCCAGGTTCAAGTGATTCTTCTGTCTCAGCCTCCTATGTAGCTGGGATTACAGGTGCCTACCACCAGCACACCCAGCTAATTTTTGTATTTTAGTAGAGACGGGGTTTCACCATGTTGGCCAGGCTGGTCTCTAACTCCTGACTTCAGGTGATCCACCTGCCTAGGCCTCCCAAAGTGTTGGGATTACAGGCGTGAGCCACTATGCCCAGCCAACATCCACCTTTTTCAAAGAGACAGGAATTAGGTGATCTTTCTCTCCTATTCATTCAACATTTACTGAGCACTAACTCTAGAGCATGCTCTGTGTCTGGTTGGCTTATAGTCACGATGGAAACAAAGGGAGAGTCAGGAAATGTGTAGAAAAATGAGAAAAGGCAAAGTTAGAGACTAATTCGATATGATGAGTGAAATAGAGGCAGCAGCCATAAAGATGACTCCCAGGTTTCCAGCTAAGGTTACTGAGTAGATAATGCTACTGATTACTCAGAGAAAACAGGAGACAATTAGGCCTAAGGAAGATGATGAGTTTGGATTTGAAAACATTAAACTTGAGGCAGCTAAGAGACATATAGGCAGAGATGTCCTTCAGGTTCCTGGAGCTAGAGAATCTGAAGCTCAGAAGAAAGGAATAAGTAGGTTTGGGAGTCAGCAGCATACAAGTAATGTTTGAAGCCCTGTAAGTTGAGAGAATGAAAAGAACTGCGGGATAGGAGTGGATCCCTAGGAACCACCTACAATTAGAGTGGGATAGAAGGCTGAGAAACTCGCAAAGGGGAGAGAGAGGAGAGGAGAGGAAGAGGGAGGGAGGCAGAAGAACCTGGAAAGTAATGGTGCCATGGAGGCCAAAGGAGCAGAGTTGCACAGAGAAAGTAGCAACAGTGCCAAACAGAAACCTGAGGAAGATCAGCAAACACTTAGAAGACATAGGATCAAGGGAAACTCACGTTTAGGATGTAAGGGGCTCAAGCATATTTAAAGGCTGAGAGACAGGAGCCTATAAAAAGGAGTAATCACAGAAAACAGGAAAGGCAATAAACAATAAGGCAAAATCTGACAGGAGACGGGAAGGAAAGGGAACAAGCGCAGAGGTGGAAAGGTAAGCCCGGCAGCAAGGACGCCTCATCCAGTGACACAGGAGACTAAGATAAATGTCACTGTGCCGTTGTGGAAGGGGCTCTGAAGAGCTCATACTGGATGTCTCCATTTTCCTGATGAAGGAGGTACTGAGGTTACCTGCGGTCAACTGAGGGGAAGCTGGGAATGGCCATCAAGGTGTGGAGTGGCTGTCCAGTCAACCTCTCCCACTCAAAGTGCTATCAAAGGACACAACACTTTGAATTCCACAAAGTAATACGTTATTTATTTATTTGTATCTTGCCTGTTTCAGGAAGAATTTTAGGCAGCAAAGTCATATGTAAGTTTTGTTGGACTGCCTATCAAGGGCAGGAACAGAAATTTTCCTATGCTTTCCAGGCAATGAGAAGTGAATCAGGGTAATGGAACCCACGATGAGTCAGAGGAGTGTTCCAGTTGCGCACAATCCCCAGTCACATGGCAGCTCAGTCTCTAATTTGGAGGCTTCCACATCTACAGCTCCATACAAATGAACCTCTGGTTCAAAAAAGAGTTTTTTCCTTGTCTGTTTCTCACTTTCTAAACCTCATTCTCTAGAGAGAAAAGAAGGAGTCCTTGGGGATGAACAAGGCAAGCTTGGAGTAATTCGGGAAAGCTAATGTTGTAGGACAGAAGCAAAGGCTGCAAATCATAGCCTAGGTTCCCTTAGTGATGTTTTCAGCAGCAACCTGAAAGTTGAGAGCCATCCTAATAATTTACTATAAATAGTGTAGCTTATTAAAAATGAGTCAACAAACTCATTATGATTATCTTCTTTTTTTTTTTCTTTTAAGATGGAGTCTCGCTCTGTCACCCAGGCTGAAGTGCAGTGATGTGATCTTGGCTCACTGCAACCTCTGCCTCCTGTGTTTAAGCGATTCTCCTGCCTCAGCCTCCTGAGTAACTGGCCTATTACAGGCACGCACAACCACCCCCAGCTAATTTTTGTATTTTTAGTAGGGAGAGGGTTTCATCATGTTGGTCAGGCTGGTCTCGAAGTCCTTACTTCATGATCTGTCTGCCTCGGCCTCCCAAAGTGCTGGGATTACTGGGGTGAGCCACCGCACCTGGCCATGATTACCCTCTACGTGTTAAAGTGGAAATGAAAAAAAAAAAATAAAGAGGAAACGAGTGAAACAAGAGATATATAACTTATATGTAACCGATCCAACTGTCAACATTTGTTTGAATATACTTTTATAGGAACCTTACAGATAAGTAGATTTGGAGTCTGAAAAATAATACAATAAAGTAAAAGATCATATTATTTATTTATTTATTTATTTAACTTTAGGTGCATACTATATCTGGCATTTCTCCCCATGTTATCCCTCCCCACTGTGAAAGGTCATATTCTTATCCCCTCTGACCAACCTGCAATGGTAGAGATTTGGCTCACTGGGATGGTAGCAGCCTTCTGGAGGTCCATTTTTATCTTTTTGGCCTGCCAGAAGAGAACAGTGAGAAAGCAGTGCTCTAAAGAGCTGAGAAGATGTCACTTAGAATCAGGTAATGTGACATGCCAGCTACATTCCTTTGGGACATGAAGCGCTCATTCTCTGAGCACTATCAAGCCCACAAAATTACCACCATATACCACCCCTCCTCTACCTGACTGTCCTTGCTGTTGGTCAGGCCCTCAAAGGTCAACACACACTTCATGGAAGCATCCTGCAACTGCTGGTACCACTGCATTGTACTGTCTTGTACCTTCACCTGGAGGTCTGAGAAATAAAAGAGAGGTTTTAGTAACAGCTAGTATTTACTGAACATGTAATACGAGGCAGGCACTGTTATAATCACTTTATTTATGTACTAACTGCTTTAACTGTCACAATAACTATGAAGTAGATACTATTATTATCTCCATTTTATAGATAAGGAAACAGGAAACAAGCATGAATGGTTAAGTGATTTGCCATGGTCACATTACTAGTAAGTAGAAAAACTAAGGCAGGGCACCCACACCTGTAATTCCAGAACTCTAGGAAGCCAAGACAAGCCCAGGAGCTTGAGACCAGCCTGGGAAACCTGGTGAAACCCCATCTCTACAAAAAATACACAAATTAGCCAGGCACGATGGTGCACGCCTGTAGTCCCAGCTACTTCAGAGGCTGAGTGGGAAGGATCACTTGAGCCTGGGAGGGTGAGGCTGCAGTGAGCTGTAAGCACACCACTGTACTCCTCTAGCCTGGGTGACAGAGTGAGACCCTATCTCAAAAAAAAAGAAAGAAAAGAAAAGAAAAACTAGACTCCCAATGATCTGGCTCCAGAGTCAGCATTCTCAAACACTATGCTACACTGATTCTTTTTTTTTGAGATGGAGGCTCACTCTGTTGCCTAGGCTGTAATACAGTGGCACAATCTCAGCTCACTGCAACCTCCATCTTCTGGGTTCAAGTGATTCTGCCTCAGCCTCCTGAGTAGCTGGGACTATAGATGCGCACCACTACGCCCAGCTAATTTTTGTATTTTTGGCAGAGATGGGAGTTTCACCATGTTGGCTAGGCTGGTCTCGAACTCCTGACCCCTTATACATATTAAACAAACACATATTTTTGCACATTTATTTAAAATAGCAGCAGCAATAATTGAAATAATGTATCTGCTATAATTATGTAGAATTTCAAGTCCTCACAGAAAGTGTTGGAATCTTAAATCAGGCTCCACATCAATCAAAACTGAATGAAATACATTATGTAAAATTCTGATTAACTGTCCTATATAGTTTAACACAACATTCAAAATACACTCTTGTTTCTCTTCACATTTGAAACTTACACCAAGTTAAAGGACCATATCCACACTGACACCCACCTTCAATCTGTTTCCCTCCTGGGCCCTGGCTGGAAGCCAGGGACTCTTTGTGGGCCTCTGGTCCCTGCTGCATCTGTGCCTCTTGCAGCTTTACCTGGGCCTCCTCTTCATCCTGCCTCTTCTTGTCTTCGCAGGCTCTGGTGATCTCCTGCCCCAAGTTCGTAAGGAGGTCCCGCATTTCCTGCAGAGCTCGCTCAGCCTCAGCTTGGCTCTCTGCTGTAGGACAGCCACTCTGTGAGAGTGACATCATACCTTAGGTAAATCATACCTAGGTAAATCATACCTCACACAAGTCAGTAAATTTCCTATAATTGGAATTGTTGCACCAATGGAGTATCCACATTCAACAAATTGATACTGCTTTCCCGTTCTCTTAAAGGTATTAATAATCCAATTTACTATCACATCAGCAGTTTCTAAGTATAAATTTTTCTGTATTCTCAGCAACAAGGACCAGAGTAATTTTTTTTAAAAAGTTTGTGATAATATGTTAGACAAAAATAATACTGTTTTTTTTTTGAGACAGAATCTCTGTCACCCAGGTTTGAGTGCCGTGGCGGGACCTCAGCTCATTGCAACCTTCGCCTCCCAGGTTCAAGCGATTCTGGTGCCTCAGCCTCCCAAGCAGCTGGGATTACAGGTGTGTGCCAGCAGGCCCAGTTAATTTTTGTATTTTTAGTAGAGACGAGGTTTCACCATGTTGGCTGAAACCTACTGGCCTTGAACTCCTGGACTCAAGTGATCCGAGACTCGCTTGAACCTGGGAAGCAGAGGTTAAAGTGAGCCATGATTACACCACTGCATTCCAGCCTAGGCAACAGTGTAAGACCCGGTCTC